TCATCGTCTACATTGATCGTGACATCATGCTGGAGCTAGATTTCTTGTGCTGTTATCTTAGTTTGTTCATCTTTTATCTTCTTATCTTACATCACAAAGTACTTCTGATGTTCAATACAAACTTCTGAAAATACGGACTTCGATTACTTTTTTATTTCAATGAGAATAAATGTTAATTTTATATATATAAAAATTTTGTATTTCTAATTTATTACTTAAATAAGATTGAGAGTTACATCTTTTTTCTTTTTATAATGAATTTTTCTATTGCGCATCCTATAAGAGTTTCTGCTATCAAATAATGTTACTTTTGCTTTATTTGTGTTATTTTCCATGAAGATCTGAACTAAGTAACTGTATTTTTTATTGTCAATATTAATATTTGCTTTTAATATGTTTATTTCATAAAAAAGAGATATTACTTAATTTTGATACTATATCATCGACTATTCTGTGACATTTATCATTTGGGCACTCTTATTAACATCTCCATCCGTCTTTTTGTTAGTCTTTGTAAGCGTAGAACCGCGGCTCAACTCTATTGTAAATAGTAGTGATCTTTGCATTATAGGTGTAATAGTGTGCCTATATATTAGTAAACTATTTTTAGGTTTAATTGTGTGAATTTTAGAGTAGATCTTGTAAGATTATCTTTTTTGAATGTTGTGATGATTGCATATATCAGTAATCTGAATTTATGTTGTATTTGTAAAGAATCTTAATGGAGACGCTTTTACTTTGACAGTTTATTCTGAATGAGCCCAACATATTAGTTTTAAAATATAATACTTTTTCTTTATTGTGTTATATGAATATTTGCTTGGTTTACTTACTAATCTCTTATTTTTTCAGTAAGTTGTATCTTTGGGTTGATATATATATTGTTGACACAATTTACGATGACATGTATATCTTCCCTACAAATATGAGATAGATATAAAGTGAATTTTATGTTTAGTAACATTTAATAAGAATTTTAGTAATGAAATATGTCATATTCATATTTAAATATCTTGAAATTTGATAGTGCTATTACATGTTTATCTTTGAGTGTCTTTAATAAATGATCATTCGTTGGTAGTCATATCTCCAAATAAAGTTATATGTAGAGTCCTGCCACTATATAGGAAAAAGTAAAAGGTCGATTTTAATTTTTTAACTTATGCTATTGTAAATAAGTATCATGTGTATATCTTTTTTCCATTATAGTGATTTCTCTCTCCTTATCTCACTTGTTATATTTTGCAACATAGTTGATTAAGAACTTCACTTTAGTTTCTATCACAAGATTATTTGTATGTAATTTTATATTAATTTTATGATTTCTTTAATGTTTCAAGAATAAAATATAAAAATTTATAAATACTTACTAATTTTTATTGTATCTTTCATGGAGAACGCTTCTTTAATTCAGATAAAATTGTCCAAAATGTTCTTCAAGGGGAACTCAGTGCGTGCTTCTTTGATAGATGTCTTTTGTCAATGTTAATGAAAGTGATTCATGAACATTTCTGAATTTTGGGTTTATTTCCTTGAATAATTTCTAGATTTGATGTGCACTGGTTATAAGAATTTCAGGATTTTTTGCGATTTTAAACTTTTAAAGGAGTTTTTGCAATTTTTATAACTTCGAGGTTTTTAAAAATTTTAAATTTTTAAGTGACTGATGTTAATCCCTTGAATTCATCTATGTTGTTTGTAAGTTTTAATATTCTAGAATTTCATGGTGCTTTTTTAGAATTTAAAATTTTGAGGTTGTTTCTATAATTTTTAAAATGTTAAGGTGTTAATTGAAAATTTTAAACTCTTTGGGGACTATTTTTAATTTCCAGATTTCATTTTTGTTTAACATTTGAAAACTTAGGGTGTTTTCTATAATTTTAAGGGTCTTTTGTGTAATTTTTGAAACTTTTTGGGTTTTTATAATATTTCATGTATCATAATATGTTAGCTAATTTATTAATCTTATTGTTTTTAAATTATTGAGCTATAGATAGTTCACGTAGGATTAGTATAAGATTTAATTAGCATTAAGAGAGTAAAATACAAGTGGAAAATTCAAAATAGTGTTTCACGTATTTTATTAATCTTATTTTTTTAAATTGTTGAGTTATAGGTATTAGATATATTTAGAATTAGGATAAATTAAAATTTAAATAAAATATTTAAATAGTGAAGGATAATATTGGTCATGGAAAGCTTTTCTAGAACTCGTGCTTTTAAAAGGAGTATGATATATCCCCTTAACTTTAAACGATAATTAAATAACCTGAATAAATTTGAAAATATTAGGAGACCTCGTAAAGTTTAGAGGTTATTAAAAACCCTTTAACTTAAAACTTTATTAAGAAACCCCGCTAAAAGCAATGGATTCAGGGGGAATTTCTAATAAAATGATTTTAGAGGCAAATTTATGATTATTGTGATTTGCAGACACATTTAAAAATACCTACAATTTAGGAGGTATATATTAAAAACTCCAAAATGAAAAAAGGGGTAAATTTATTAAACCTCGAATGAGTTTTTGGTGTTTGGAACTAAATCCTAAACATTTTAAAACTCTCACTAAGCCCCCAATCACTTTTAGTAGAAAAACCTAAAAATTAACATCATTAGTTCATGTATAGTCAAATAACCAAAATAAAACCCAATAACCCAACAACTTTTACGCTTTTCACTTAATCCCCATTAGTTTTTAGCAAAAAACCACAAATACTATATGTTTATATTATCTAATATTTTTAAAGATTGCTAAAGTTATTGAAATTTTTCAAGAGGTTGATTGTAATGTTTAAATTTTAAAGGAGTTTGTTTCTAATTTTAGATTTTTTGGGGGTTATTTGTACTTTATATTTTTTGGGGCTTTTTAATTTTCTCGGGGTTTCTTTTCAATTTTCTAATTTAAAGGGTATGTTTACTATTTTTGAGATTTTTAAGGAGCTCTTTGCAATTTTCAAGTTTTAGAGTGTTATTTATAATATTTCTACCTTTTATGGAGTTTTTTTCATAATTTTCATATTTTCGACTGTTTGTTTGAAATTTTAAATTTTTAGGGAGTTGGTTGTAATTTTTAAAATTTAAAAGGTTGTTTATACTTTTTAGTTGTAATTTATTAATTTTTGGGGGTCATTTATAAGTTTAGAATGTTAAGAGTCTTTTTTCATTTTTTTTAGATTTTTAGAGGTTTTTTGCAATTTCAGCAAACCCTCAAAATTAACAAATGGTTAAATTTCACTGAATCTTCAATAAGTTTAGTATTTGGAACTAAATCTCCAATATCTTTAATACTCTCACTAAACCTCCAATAACTTTTAGCAAAAAACTCGCAAAATTAACATCATTAGTTTATGTATAGTCAAATAACAAAAATACACCCTAACAACCAATAAGTTTTATATTTTTTTTACTTAACCCCTAATAAAGTTTTGTAAAAACCCAAAATAACGGATGTATATCATTTTTAGATTTTTCCAAAGGTTTGTTTGTAATTATTGGAATTTTCAAGGTGTTGATCTTAATTTTTGGATGTTAAAGGGGGATGTATCTAATTCTAGATTTTTCTAGGGGGTTGTTTGTTTTGTTTATATTTTTTTGAGTTTTATATTTTTCTTTGTATTATTTTGTAATTTTCTAATTTAAGGGTTTGTTTATGATTTTTTAGATTTTTAGGGATTGTTTGTAATTTTCTGCTTTTTAGTTTTGTAATTTTTATAGGGTTTCTATTTTGTAATTTTCTAATTCAAGGTGTTGTTTGTCATTTTCTGCTTTTTATAGGGTTTCTTATAGTTTTATATTTTTCATGTGTTTTTTTGAATTTTTAATGGTCATTTGTAAACTTCAAATTTTAAAGGGGTTGTTTGTACTTTTTGGATTTTTTAAAGAGGTTGTTTGCAATTTATGCACTTTTTGTTGGCCATTTATAATTTTAGAATTTTAAGGGCCTTTTTTAATTTTTAGATTTTTAAGGATTTTTTATAATTTAATACTTTATAGGGGGCTATATGTTTTTTTAATTTTTTTCATGGGTTTGTTTTTATTATCCCGATTTGTCAATGACTTTTCTATAATTTTGGGAATTTAAAGGGAGTTGTTTGTAGCTTTCAAATTTTTCTACGTGTTATTTATAATTTTAGATTTTTAAGATAGCTATTTGTAAAAAATTTATATTTTTTAGGATTGTTTGTAAATTTATGGTATAATTTGTAAATAAGAATGATTTGATGAGTAAGTATTGTGTTTGAAGGTTAATTTTAGTCAGTGTAAAATTTTTTAGAATTGTTTGTAAACGAATAGGATCATTTGTAAATAAGAATGATTTGAGGGGTATATACTGTGCTTGAGGGTTAATTTTTCCATTATGAAGGCTAAGTGCGAAAAATCAAAATGTTCTGGATATTTTTTGAAATTATCAAATTTACTAAGAATTTAGTGAGAGTTGTAAATATTTAGAAATTTAGTGCTCAATTCAAAGTTATGAGATATTTACTAAAATTTAAGTTTTTAAAGTAATTAAGGAGGAACACATGATATTTTTTAGATTTTGTAATTGTAGATAGTTAAAAATTGTTTAGAATTAACAAAGATCTGATTGTTAAAATTTTCTACTCTTTTATAGATAGAATTTTTAAACTATGGATATGAATAGTTTTAATTTAGTGAGAATTCTTAGGAAGATAGAGTTAGTTGGACACATGTCATCTTTTAATATGATAGAGAAGTAGTTTTATTGTTTGATTTCTTTCCATATCAATTTTTGGTTAAAGATTTTACCTTCAAAAAAATTGATATATTATTGATTAGGATAAGATTAGAAGGTAATATCCAAAAGAGCTAAGGGTAATATTGACTATGAAAAGTTTTTCTCAAACTCGTTCTTTTATAAGGAGCATGATATGATATGTTATAATATTGTACTTTGCTCAGTTTGCATGACTGTAATTTAATAGTGGAAAGGTGCAAATGGAAATGTAAAATTGTAGAAATCATTAAAAAAAACATACTCATCAAGGAAAAAGCCGGCGTCCGCAAGGCATTTAACATTGGCCCCCTTAGGCATGAGTGCACGAAAATTGTCACAATGTATGAAAGTTGCAAGACCACCAGCAGAGCATCCTGTAAGAAAAGCCTGCAAACTGGAAAATTTGATCACGTCTGACTCAATGTGTTCACGCCACATTAGCAATTGTATGTTATGAATTAGGAGTTCCATGCAAGAATTTGGTGTAAACTCAGCTAGATATATGAATAGTATTAACAGTAATCGCAACAATGGCCTGGTTAACATGTTGTGTCATGAATAATGGACTGCGTATCTTGCATTTGTTATGGGACAAAAATTCAAAATTACAGAAATTATCATACAAAATTACATATATGATTAATGACATAGGGCAGGGATGAAATAATTGCTCTCAGTCAATTAAATGGCTAGTGTAAATATTATTAAAATTTGAAATATATGATACTTTCATTAATTCTAAAGGGCATTTTCAAAATATGTATTCGCGTTTGACTAAGTTCAAGATATGATACATAACTAGCCACTGGGAAGACAAAACCACCAGGTTCACAGCAAAGATGTTTTGCTGGATTAGAAGCCAGCCTCAGATTTTACTGATATTTCTTGGTGGTCGGTGATGCATGTATATATTATAATATGCAAAAGCATTCCACCATAATCATTTAATTATAAAGCAATAACCTGCTTAGACTTTCCAAGTCCTTCTGATAATAGTTCATCAATGATTGCTTCCCAAATCCGCTGGCCTTTGAAGAAGAGCTTCCTTCCATTCTATATGACATCAAGTAAAAGTCAGCCCAGAACACTTTGCTGCTTTTATTATTCACTAAAATTAAGTTATAGATGTAGATTGCAAAATGAACCGCCAACTATAGTGACTCAGAAGGCAAACACCCACTATATCTACCTTTGCTTGAACCATTGTGTCGCCAGAAAAAGATCCACCATCACAATACCGTATCTTGACTCTGTTCCAGTTATAGAAATCTGAAGAATATAATAAAATATGGGAATCAGAAAAGCTTTAATAATATTAAAAGATGGTTGAATATCAAACCATGATTAGCTCTGACAACTTCAGATACATAATTAACCGTTTCTTCACTTCTAATGCCATAGAACATTCTTGTAAGTTGACAGATACCAAGAATTTATGCTCTTAATCATTCATTCAGAACTAGAGGTTAACTGATGTTTAGTAGAAACGATAAATCAAGACACCAAGTGCAGACAGCTCAAGGTTGGTGGAAGATTAAAGGAGGGCATGATAGTCCCTCCATAACCAAAATAGATTTTTATAATGATTATATGGGAATCAGAAAATATTTAATAATAACAAAAGATGATTGAATATCAAACCATGATTAGCTCTGAGAACTTAACAGGGTACATACTTAACCCTTTCTCCACTTCTAATGCCATATAACATTCTTGTAAGTTGTGACAAATACAAAGAACTTATGTTCTTAATCATTCATTCAGAACTAGAGGATAACTGATGTTTAGTAGTAATGAGAAATCAAGACACCAAGCACAAACAGCTCAAGGTTGGTGGAAGATTAAAGGAGGGCATGAATATCCCTCTATAACCAAAATAGATTCTTACAATGGATAGCTCTTATTTAATTCTAACGTTTACTGTCTATACTATACCAAGGTATGATGCAAAAGACATGCTACCCTCAACCTAATCCATGGCATCAATAAGACCATTCTTAAATATGTGAAGGTAAGCAAACAACTACAAATCACCAAATAAAATCAATCAGTATTGACTCGCAACAGCAAATCTACTGGAGATACCTAATGCCATGCAACGTTCTAGTCGATATAGAAAAGTTTAATTTCTCATTTAGAGGGGTTGCAACTACTGCTTTCCTTATTTTGTTAAAGTCGGTTAAAAATGTCCAAGTTAAATAACTTGACATTTTTATTGATGTTCAACGGTAAATCAGATGACCAGCGACTATATTCTCCAAAAAGGGGAAGTATCAGGATGACAAACTGTGAAGAGATGGAAAAAGGTTAAACATTATGATATTCTAGTTATTCCATAAAGATAAGACAAATTCTGTTTATCCCTAGCTGATTTAGTGAATCAGTATACTGAAAAGATCTTAACTCAGTGTCTCATTTATCCCTCCTGACAAATTTTAAAAGGTGTTTATGAGAGCAAATGTGATCAGTCTTTACCGAGATAACTCACAAGAACAGAGAAAAGGTAAGGAATAGAAAAATGGCTATATTCTCACTGGGACACCATTTTGTTCTGCAACCTAGGAATAAAGGTATGCAGCAGTGCTACCACGATGACTTACAAAGAATAACACTGGTTAAAAATAAATACAGAGAAGAGAGATAAGTCTTAGAACAAAAAACAATCTGACAAACTTAGCCAAAGAACTCCAACGATTGCTTACCAGGGTTTAGAGATGAGGATTGGCTTAAAATGCCAACAAAGAGAGCTTGTCGTGGCATGTAGTGTGAAGACCCTAATGGTGTCTCTTGGCGAGAAGAACATGAATCTACAGTACTGCACCAACCTCCACCCTAACACTTGAGAAAAGCAATTAACTTGAGCAAATGCTTAACTAATAACCTGCATCATCATCTATTCTACATACGCTAATGGTACAAAACACAAACATGGATGCTCTTAAATATATCAAAGAGATCAATAGTACTGAATCCTGGTCAATAGATTATGAAAGCAAATTAACTCATATTCCAAAGGTAAAGGGGAAAAAATCATGGGACCACACATAATGATAAAACACCAAGAAGTAAACCAAAAATAATAGTAATAATAATATAATAATTGCTGATAAGTTGTTTTTTTGGGTGAATTTATCTGACAACAGGTATAATAATCTCGAGTCTACACTAAAGTAAAATGCAATTACAAATCATAGGTATGAAGAATCACAAATAATAATCATCTAAAGTTGCTAAGCTACACATACTAGAGTTCTTTATTTCTTTATTATACGATGAACTATAAGTCCCCAGAAACACACATCACTCTTAACAAGATGGCCATTGACAACTTTGCAATCAACCGGGGTTGGCTTGGCTGCTAGAAGCTGTGTAGTGACATTTCTATCATAAAGTCAATGCCCGTGTGAGAAACATATCATACATTGTCACTATCAATACACATGTTGGACATATGCCCTCTATTTAAAATAGGACAAAATTTCATTTTCGACCATATTTGAAATTTATTTAGCATTTTCGACTTAATTTCAGCCACCTGGCCGAAAATGCTAAATATGTGCAAAAAACTACACGGGATTGATAATTCTGCGTAGTTTAGCAAAACACTAAACTACACAGGATTCTAAATCCTCTGTGGTTTAGCACTACAACAAGCTGGAGTTTCGTATTGTAGCAAACTGCACGAGATTTTGAATCCCGTGTAGTTTGATTTCAACTATTAAACTACACGAGATTCAGAATCCTATGTAGTTGCAGGGTGATTTTGGCAGAGTT